AAATTGTCTTTTGTGTTCGGCCTCAACACCAAGTACTAATAACTGAGAGATTGTGAATACTTCTGCTTGTCAGAATCACAAATTGCCATAAGAGGTCTGTCAGTTGCCTAAACAATAATTATAAATCATAATTCTCTTGCTAATTGACAAGCTAATTAAATATCTGGCTGCTAATAAAAGCATAAAGTGGGAGGGGGGGTTGAGGAAACCATTCACTTTAGCATTGCTCTTTCTTTTGGACAAGAATAGAACAAGGAAATCATTTTGCTTTCGGCTCTAATATTTTCTAAATTTCAAGTAGAAAAAAAAAATCTTCCATCAAACAACAACCACCATTTCTCTTTACAATCAATCAGTTTATGACTTTTAAACACTGAATTTTAGCAAGGAAATTTTTTCTGTTTCAATTGCACATCTGACAACAAAAGGACAGTATTGTTTGTTGATAGTTTAATAATTTATGAAATTTAGATTTTAAAATAAAACATTTATTGAAATATGGTGGCATGTTTTTTAAAACTCTTACATTGAAGTCTTCTTTCAGGCAGAGAAAACAATTATAAAATTTCATTTTTTTTATAAGTATATTTAACTTTATTTTTATTTTTTTAATTTTCTTGACAAAAGGTGAGTGACATCTCATCATCTGGGATACCTTGCAGTGGTTAAGAAGTTAGTCTAATAGAATAAAATGTTGTTTTATTTTGGATTCTCACTGGGAGCCCAGTATTTGTCTTAAATTATGCTTACTAAATATTTACATATATGGACCTTGCTGTGAAATAGAGTACAAAACAAATTTCCCAAACCATTACTACTGTATTGAGTGCAGTCCTCACTAGGTGCCCCACATTGTGTCAGTTTACTAAATTCTCAAGTGTTACTAGGTGGGAAGAAAATATGTATTTTTATGATGGGCAAATATGAAATGATTTATCTTTTCTACACTCATAAAATTGATCACTCATTTCTTGAAAAAATAATTTTCTAATCCCAGTATGAGGTATAGTAAAAAAAAAAAAAAAAAAAAAAACAACTCTTTCTGTGATATAGAATCATTCACTTTCTTTGTCTCGTTTTCTATAAGCAGTTTTCCTAATTGTATAACTAATGGCTAATTCATTTTTACTTTTTTTTTTTTTTTTCCATGTGGGAATTGTTGAGAATAGAAAGGTTGGGGAGGGGTGGGAAAAAAAAAAAAAGAAAGACAAACTGTGTTTGTTCGCGCCCCCCCTCCTTCCCTAAGAAGAATTTATCTTCATGAGATGAGAAAGCGGTAATTTTTTTTTTTTGTAGTCTGTTTAAGCAATCAGTAGATGGACCATAACTGTATCACAGATAGAATTTTAGGGTGGGGAACAGGTAATGGAACGGTGGGAGGGCAAGCAATCTTTCGACAAATGTCGATACCTCTCTATGTAGTGCACAATTGGGAATAGCTATTGATTGAAACTATAAACTAATCTCTACCTCATTATGTAAGCAACTTGGTCTTTTCTGAGATTAACTTTTCAAAAGGAAAGAGGAAGACAAAAAAGGAAAAAAAAGAAAAAACGAATCCACTGATCTGATCTGTTCAGAAGTATTTTTATTTTGTTTTTTTGTTTTTTTTAACCTTTCATTTTTCCTTATCATGAGGTGAATATTGGAATTGGGAAGATTGGTGTCTTTTGTTCTCTGTTCTACCAGAAGCCGTAAATTTGGTTTGTATCTACAGCTGCTGCTGCCATCAGAGAGATAGGCTAACTTGGATATCAGTAAATGTGCCTACTGCCCTGGGTGATTTGATTAGTGTTTAGAGATAAGACCCTGACTAATATCCCCAAAGTCCCTCTCTTACTCTTCTCCTATTATATGATACTCTGTTAAAAGATCAGAATCTTACAATCTATTGGTAGGCTTCTTAAAAACGATTTTTTTTTTTTTTTTTTTTTTTTTTTTTAAACCCCCCCCATTCTTGATGTCTCTACCCTAGCTGCACACACACCCCACACCTTTCAGATTTTTTTTTTTTTTTTTGCTGGGCTACAATCAGTGACAAAGAATAGATTACAGTCCAATTAGCTGAAACATTATTTGAGGCTATGACAGCCTTACGGATGTTTCAGTCTTGCCTGATCTTATCATTGGATAATCCTCTGAAAATATGAAGCAATTAAATTTGCTAAGTTACTTGTTCTCTGTTTTAGCCTTTTCCAGTTATAGAAATGTTTCGCTGCATAGAAAGTTGTTTAACTATTAGTAAAAGAATGTAATTACTTGATTACTGATCTATATTTGCAAGCGTTTCTTTTCTTTCTTTTTTCTGTTATAATTGCCAAACCCATATTGCCATCGACCGTTTTTAACTCTAAACTTAGTGCTTTGTCATCTCAGAAGGGATTGTATATATTTGTGCTCTTTGGATTATTTGACAAGAGAAATTGTTTATTTTATTTGAAATAAACCAAATGTTTCTTTGCTGGTTTTATTTTTATTTTCTTTTAAATTTCCCTTAAACATTTCCTTACTTATTTATCCCTAATTAATTTATTTATCGTTAATTAATACCTTTTTGTATT